AAAGGAATAAAATAGAAACACAGAAACAAAGTTACAGAATTGTGATTTCACGTAAGCAAAAATTATTTTCATTATGTTCTGACCTTATGTTACGTCAGACAGCTATTATAAAAGATTGAAAGAAATTGTGAAGTGTAAAAATAAAAGTCTACGAATGTCGTTAGGTTAATTTGAGTCGTTCGATTATTTAGCTAACCTAAGGAAATTAAAACAGAAAAAGAACAAACTTTTTTGAAGGATGGGTGGGAGAGGGAGGAGTACTCATAAATGAGAAACCTAATCGCAAGAAAGACTCGATGCGAATTAATTGAAAAAAAAAAAAAAAAAGAAAACAAACTAATTTGAAATTTCACGAAGATGTTGCGCTAAAGAAAGAAATAAAGGCAGTAATATTTCAAGAGGTAATAAGGGTGTAAGATAAACCAGATAAGCCAGAGAAATGGCACTTCAACTCAGGCTAAACCGTTCTGTCACTGTTCATCACTTAGCTCGAGTAGCGAATGTGAAGATAAATATAAATTGAAATAAATGCGAGATCTGTTTCTGCATACGTTACGCTTGCACCTTACACACGAACAGCTTAGGAAGCTTAGAAATATAGCCAGTTTGTTACTTCGAGGGGAAAAGCGGATTTCGTTAAAAATATATATCGCCGCTCGTGTTTATTCGTTTTAAAACGAATATGTATCAACACAAGTGTGTGTGTGTGTATATGAGTAATGATTATTTTAAATGTACGAATATCTACAAGATCTATCAGATGGAGGAAAAATATTTTTCTTCGAGAAAATCGCGAGATATCGACACAGTTTGGTACGACGCAATCGATAATCCAAATAAATCAAACAATAAACAGATCGAACCTTTCGGTAGTTCCTGTTCTCGTAAAGTACGTATCTGCATAATATGATCCCGGGGATAGGCGAAACGGAATTTACCGCAACCCGCAATGCGGAGTATCCGTTACTGTTTTCGTTGTAAGTTAGTCAGCTATGCGCCTATTGCACGTACCGATAATTGGCCAAGATTTCAGTTCAAGATTCAAGAATTTTATTTGCGTGACTTACGTATTTCACCGCGACGGTGCGATTTGCTCGTAAACTAAAAATATCCGCATGGGGGAAATGAGATATCGCTTCTGCGGCTAAATGCTTTCGTTTCTTCCCCCTCCTCTTTCTTTCTCTCTCTCTCTCTCTCTCTCTCTCTCCCTCCCTGGCTGACAACGATTATTTTGACAATGATATTTTTACGGGGGTTGCTACGTTTTACGGTGCTAATTTCACAGATGACTCAGTTCGCAAGGTTCATTGACACGGTCGAGTTCACCTCGAACCGAACGTCTATTTTCGTTTCCCGATCGAAACAGTTTTTCGTCCGCTTCTCGAGAGACAGCAAACGGTTTCGGCCCGAAAACATTTTTCTCGATATATCAACGGAACGCGATTATGATTTTGTTCAATTATCTTCGTTAAACGCGGATTGACACACACAGCGATTTAATCGATACGATTCGAGTGCAAGCTGATACGCAAGCGTTTCTATTTCACATCTGTGTGTGTGTGTGCTCGTTTTCGTTTCCCGGCAAATTGAATTACTTTGTCGGATGATATACATACTAACTCGAATGATATACATACAAAATTGCTACAGTAAATATACCGTCGTTACGTATGCATGCAAATTCACGAGCGGTTTTAAATGGAATATCGTCTTAATTATTGCACGCGCGCGTTCAGAAATTTTCGAATATTTTCCGCCGTCTGACTATAAATTTCAGATGCAATCGAGTATAACTTCGAGATATTTGAAAAAGCCCGCGTTTAACCTCTTGCGCTAGTAACTGATTCGCGGACCATAACGAGTGACCGAACCGTATACAATAATTCGTCTTCTTTTTAAATTCATTCGGTATATCACTGGATAGAAATTACTAAGAGGTAATAAATTTATTATTCCTTCTGCCTGGATTATATTTCACTATACTTAAAACTGAGAAAATATTGCAATTTTGGATTG